AGCAACTGCTTTTTCCTTGGCTTCTTCAGCGATCTGTCGGGTCGAAGTAGATTCCTGTAACAATTTCTCTATTGTTTCTGTATTAGTGTTCACCTTTTGTCCCAGATTGTTAATGCTTATAGTGTTTTGATCAATTTTAGTTGAAGCTTCAGCCACTTGTTTACTTAATTTTTCCAGCGATTCATTTATTTTGCCTAGTGCAAGTGCTAAAACATCCTCAGATGCCATAGCTTTTGGCTTAGATTGTATAGTTGCAGCCGCTGATGGTGCAGAAGGGCCAGATGTTGATGCTCTTCGCTGCAGCCAGGATTTCCCAGATCTCGTTGTTTTGTCTTGGAACAAATCTACTTTTTCTTTTCCATCTGCCATAACACTTTAGCTGGAACCCAAGGTCAATCTCACAGCTATAATTTGTTTTGAAGTGGAAAATTCCCCTGGCCCAATTGTTGTAACAATTTCAAAGATTTCCTCTAGGGGGACCCTGTAACAGTCAAAACTTGTTGCTTTAAAAAGTAACTCTTTTTAAGCCCCCATTTCACCAAATAAGCAACAATTTCAATTTCAGTTACTTCTCAGTCACTTTAAGATCAGGAGGAGACAACCAGAAACAATGTATCTCCTTTGCAGAGCTAGCTGTCAAAAAGTACTCTGTCACAAACAGCGCATTTCACAATACGGCAGTCTTATTGTCCGTTGGCAGCCCGTTCCCAGGTTTTAAGCAGTGGATTCTTACTACCTTCCCTCTCTTTTGCAGGAAAATATAGTTCAAACCTTTCCCCCCTCCTCTCCTGCCGCCAAGGGGGGAAATCACTTATTTTGACGTTTGGATTATAGTCCTTCCCGATCGACTTTCCAGGTTTTTAGCTTACAGCTTCTTTGCTTTAATCTATTTACAAGAAATGGAAGGCGGACTTCCTGTTTATGCCTTCCCGCTTCGGTGACAAATTAAGCCTCCCCCCCCTTTTTCCTCTCCAATTTGTCCTACTCACGAGTAGTTGCTTTTGTAGTCGAATTGTCACAGGAAGAAGGCAGCGCTCTCCGGTAACGGCTGTGCGGCTTCGCTCCGCGGAAGAAGCAGTTGACTCACAGCACCGCGCCACTCACCCCGCTTCGCTCCGGAGCCCGTAATTGGGTCCCTTTGCGAATTGGGGGGGCGCGAAAGGTGCCCGCCGAGTCCCACGTTCACAGGCTTCACCCGCCTGTGATTTTTGAAGGGTCCCCGCTTCGCCGTAGCGGTACAGACCCGATTCCCGCAGAGCCGGTCCCTCCGAGTCAGAGGGAATCCGCCATTACCGATGGCGCCACCCCGGAAGTCCCGTACCAAAATAACCTTTAAAGCTTATTCAAAATGAGGGAGCAAGAGAGAGAGAGGAGCAACAGAAGTGGGAATCATAAAATGGCTAGCATACAATATATTGCTATGTCCCTCTTGGCAGCCATCTCTGACATATTTCATTCTTACTACAGAGTTCCTTGTCACTAAATAGTGTCTTGGCTCCTGGAAATTAATGTTTGCATAAATGTAATTGAGCAAATGAGAATTCATTTCTGAATCAGGAAGCAAGATAGCTTTTAAAAAGCATCTTAAAAGAAAAACAGCTTAATATCTCTGACCCAACAGCTTTGTGACACATGTGTGATCTTTGGTGCATACGTAAGCTTTGTGCTAGCAGTAGCTGCCTCAGTGACTTCAGTACCAAGGAAATGCACTGTGCACACAATTGGGGATTTAGGTGCACAGCAGTAGTATAGCATGGGTTGCCAGCATTGCACCCCCCAAACCTGAGGCTCTCAGGCTGTGGGTAGTGGCCTCAGGGCACTCACGGGAGGCACCCTGGGTGGTCTCCTCCTTCTGCCTCTTGCTAAGGAGTGAGAGAGAGTAGCTGCCGACAGCATGGAGCCACCTCCTTTGCTGGGAAGAGGGGAGCCAGGGCTGTGCCTCCAGGAAGCCTCCTCGTCCTGCGCTCGGCAGGGAGGCAGATGTGAGCCATGAGTTGCAACCAACACGCAGGTGGGGCCCAGCCCAGCTCTGCCTCCCAGTTCGTTTCTGCGCCATAGCCCACCTGCAGGAAAGAGACTTTTCTGGGGGAACAGCTGTCGCGCCACCACCTCCCTCGGCAAGCAGGTTTTGCGAAAGAGCCCTTCTAGCTTGCCCACCTTTTCAGCTGGGAGGTGAGGTGCCAAAACTACAATGCCCAGCCTCCAGCTCGGGATTAGGAATGTTTCCCAGCAAGACCATGCAATCAAACGCGAAGCAGGAACACTCTTGGGCTGCCTTCTGCAGCTGGAATGTGCAGGAGCTCCTCAAAGAACAGCCTTCTGAATTTCAGTTTGGAAACTTCAGTGCATTTAACCGAAAGCAGCTCCAGCAGTAGCTGAGGTTCGGAGGCAGGGAAACATCCCTTGCCCAACTTGTGTCCTTAACATTTTTGCCCCTGGGGCAAGCACCCTGTTGCCCCTCCCAAAGCTACACCACTGGTGCACAGCAATTCCTAAAAGTTGAGCACATTCTACTTATATGAAATTTGGGGGGATTTTTGGATCTGGTTGAACACATCATGTTTCGGGTTATTCTACACTGTAGATTTACCATTGATCATTGTAGAGTTGAAGTTTGATTGAGCCGGCCATTGAATTGTGCTGTCTTCTGTACCTGCTGCTTTGGGAGTATGGACTATCCTTCAATGAAGGTACAGTCAGCCATCTGTCAGGGGCACTTTAATTGCGTCTTGCACTGCCCAACCTGCATTGAGAAGTGGGTTGGTCTACATGACCTCCAAGGTGCCTTTCAACTTGTGTATGTTTCTCTCAATCTGCACAATGTTGCCCAATTTCCTAGGTCAGATACCAGCAACACGTGGTTTTCTTCTCCCTATTCTTGGCATGTCTTCCTTCCCATCACTGATTAAATAAAAAAAGGTTTAAATAAACAAAAGTTTATTTAATTCCACTTAATTTTTATTTTTTAAAAAACTAACTGGGAGTCAAGTGTGGTTAACAGGCTGCAGTTTGCCTAAACCTGGCAAATACTTCAAATTGGCATAGCCACAACAGAAAGTTCTTGCATTGTCCAAATTGCACCACGTTGTAGAAGGGATGGGTGCAAATGTTCCTGTTAATAATTCAAAACTTTCAGAGCTGTGTGGGGATGGCAATCTGACATTGTCACTGCCATGTGCAGGCTCAGCTTAGCTTGTGTTCTCCCTCCCTGCTGCCTTGGTCTGTATTCCACCTGGAACGAAAAGGTGATTGTGTACAAGGCAAGCTTGTTTTCCCCCATGTAATTCACAGACTGGGGTGAATGTTCTGTGCAATTTTCCTAATAGTTTTGTGTGAGGTTTTTTCTTTTAAGTACAAGCAACAATGATCTCAGTGTGGCAAATTAAAACCCCAGGATACAGGGCAATAATGCAATGCCTACCCAGATAAATGTACGCTAGCCACATCCATTCCTGCTGTAGCCTCCCATCAAATTTGGTGTTTTGTTTTGTGTTTTGAAGAGGAGTGAAATGTGCATGTTTGGTAGAACTTTTAGGGCAAAAACCTCCCTTCTGGTCTCCCAGAGCTGTTTCTAGATAGTGTGGGATAGGTGGGTAGGTCTTATAATTTTTCTTATATAACCCTTGGGAAGTGTTCAAACTCTCCTAAACTAGGTAAAAGGTAAGGTAAAGGACCCCTGGACTGTTCAGTCAAAGGTGACTATGAGGTGCGGCGTTCTCGCTTTTCAGGCCAAGGGAGCCGGCGTTTGTCCACAGACAGCTTCCAGGTCATGTGGCCAGCATGACTAAATCGCTCCTGGTGCACAGAGGACTGTGACAGAAGCCAGAGTGCACGGAAATGCCGTTTACCTTCCCACCACATCGGTACCTATTTATCTACTTGCACTGGTGGGCGGCTTTCAAACTGCTAGGTTGGCAGAAGCTGGGACAGAGCAATAGGAGCTCACCCCACTGATTCAAACCGCCAACCTTCTGATCAGCAAGCCCAAGAGGTCTAAACCACTGAGCCACCCACTCCCCTAAACTACTAGTATACCAGTATAGGAACCATTATAGGGGAAAAAAGAGATTTGACTTTCTACCACATGTATGTGCTATTGGGGGGGAATTGCCTAATGAGTGGAGTATTTTGCGCTACAGTACGCTGGGAAAGATATCTGTGCATTCCGTTTTGAGGGGAGGAAACCCAAGGTTGTCTAAGGACATTTATTGGCACACACTGCTAACAGTATTAGATACATTGTGTGAATTTTAAAATTAATGATACAGAGTCTTTTGCAAGCTTCACTAAAGCAGATGAGAGCAGAATCGTCTTTGAATTATAAATTCAATGACAGAAACTTCAATAATGAAGGACTAGTGTAAAATAACTTCTGCCCTTTAATGCATTGCAACATCGGGAATCTTTGCTCATCTAATCCTTGCATTAAAACTCAGGAGCCAGCTGGGCTGCTGTAACCCTCGTGAAACAAAATGGGGAAAGAGCTGTAAATGCTTCTGGTGAGTGGTCAAACCATTGTCTTGTGATTATTTGACAATTCATTAGGTCACTTTTGTTTTTTTCATTTTCTTCCATGAACACTAAAAAGCAGAGCTGTGTGCAGTAGGAGTTGTGGGGAAGGGGCAGAGCTCAGTGCTTGGCGTGCAGACGGCTGCAGGTTTGACCCCCAGGTAGGGCTGGGATAGGAATAAGGAAAAGAGGTTAGGGTGCATATGAGGCACTAGACAGAAGCAGTGATCCTGAAGGTTGGAAAGGAGGAAGATTAAGAGACAGTGTGTGAGAGAGAAGGGTGTATTCATGCTAGCTGGGAAAGGAAGCTGGGGCTAATACTTACTATTATTATTATTATTACTTATTTATTTATTGCATTCATATCCCATCTTTTCTCCATAGAGCTCAAGTTGGCATACATGGTTCTGCCCCTCCTCACTGAATCCCCACAGCAACCCTGTGAGATAGAGAAGGCAGTGACTGGCCTAAGGTCACCTAGTGAGCTTCACGGCCGAGTGGAGGGATTCGAACCCTGGTCTCCCCAGTCCTAGTCTGGCCCTCTAACCACTACACCACACTGGCTTTGCAAAACTTGCCCTCCCATTCAGCTATACTACTCACCTTTTAGGCCTTTTCTCCTCAGGCCTTCCTGTCGCTTGAGTGGGCATCCCAGGAGGCCTAAGAAATAATTCCCAGAATCCTCCCTGACCCTCCCGCAAAAGTGAACAATTGCCTGTAGAAACTTCGCAAGTCACTTTCTGTTCATATTCATCTTGAAATGGACCTTTCAGGGCCTTACTGGGAAGGGGGGTGCACCTAAATTAACTTGTCGTCTTCAGCGACCCTCTCACTTTCTGATCTGTTGTACCTTTAAAGGAGTGCAAATGTTTGATAGATCTCTGGAGACAGAAGACAGCACTTTTGTTATATTTAAAAAAAAAAAAGTTGTGCCATTTTAATTTGTGAAGGCAGAAAGCCAATTCGGATTGACAGTTTAAGTGCCCACATAATAATAAACGAAATGCAGATTTTATTTTCTTTGTGACCGTTTCTCTTTTCCTTTCAGCCCCTGTTGGGACATAACATTGGAATGCCCTTGTTGCATCTGACTTTCTTGCAGAATATTGGAGAGCTTCCAACCTTTTAAACTGCTCCAGCTTTAATTTATCCCACTTCTGATGTTCTCCCTTACCGTATATCTCATCCCCCCCCCCTATTTCCTACCCCCTTTTGCTCTTGGAGACTATATATTTATTTAGCAAAATATTTTAAAAGCGGCCTGAATTTATGTTTAAAATTAGTTGTCAATGTTATTATTCCTGTGAATAAAATATATGTTGTACATTTGAGAGGGGGATCAGTAGTGGGAAATGACTCATTTCGAGAATATTTCCAGTAATACAAAATGGTGAAAGAAGTAATTCCAGCACCACCCATCTGTGTTCAATATGACTTAAATGAAAGGCAACTTATTAGAAGGGCACAAAGGATCTATTGAATCACAAAAACATTTGCAACCCCAATATGTTTGTGCCAACAATAGCCACGACACCAACATGTTTGGAGTGGTTGCAGAGACCACTGGTTTCAGGCTGCAGAAGCTGGTACTGACTGGGAGCTCGAGCAACTTTTCTGGGCAATCGCAGCAATGCAGATAATGACAGCTGGGTCATTCTTTTTTCCAACCAAATATATGCTGGCATTTGGTTGGATTTGGCTGTCTATGGCGGTGCAAGGGAGGGGTGTTTGAATACAGCTGAGCCCTGCAGGTAGATGAAGCCTGAATGGTTTCAGTCCAGGTCATTAGCTGGTAAAGGCAGGATCTTCTTTGGAGTAATCCTTGAGACTGGGAAGGCCTTAATAAATGAAAAGGCAGCACTGCACTCCTCAGAATGCCAAGATCTGGCTCATCTTTTGCTCTACCCTTCTTCTCCATCCTGGACCAACTGCTTTCCAACACTCTGCAAGCCTCCATTACGAGAAATTAAAGCAGCCCATAGCCACCTTAAAATTCAGGTGCCACATTCATGTTTCACAAGGAACCTGCTTTTTATGGCTAAATTTTATGTTGGGAAATGGACTGCAGAGGAGAGCGCTGCACATTAAGGAACGCCATGAATTATGCACGAGGCACAGCAGTCGGGCATCGGCCGTGCCTCTTTATGAGCAAAAGAAAGCGATATTAACAATTTACACAGGGCTCGAGCTCTTATTTTTCACTGGGAAGCAATAACAGGGCATGGTGCTGGGAAACGAGTGGTGTGTGGCTCCTCCTCCAGGCCCCTAGGGGGGCTTTCAAAAGCGATTTGGCAGCAGGAAACAGAAAACCAGTTTGAGCACCATGCGGGGGTGAAGTGCGGCAGGAGGGAAAGGACACAGCAGTTTTGTAAGTCATTTGGCAGTGCTTTGCGAGAGTGTCGGGACCGGAGCCAGGCTGACAGATCTGTGCGTTTATCCGATCTGTGTAATGGGGCTGTAAGGCCACTGTACAAATTGGCTCATAGACATCGCCTGAGAGAACCACATCTATCAAATCCATAAGGAAAAGACTTGAGAGCAGGGGTCTGGGTGGGAGGGGGTCATTGGTAATCAAGCTCATTAGCTGCTGTGATGTTTAAAGGAGCAGAAGGGGGTGCAAGGACTCATATCAGATATCCTTGCTTTATGCCCAGATGGGCTTTTCTGTCCCATTGCCCATTGCTCCTGGCTCTTTTTATACTCACTTCTAGATGGGGGAGAAGGGGAAGTGGTACCAGATATTTCCATTCAGTAATGATGAAAAGAGGCAGTTTTGGAGATTTATCACTTGGATAAGTGACCTAAATGCTGAAATTTCTGTACACTTTCCTCCCTTTTTAATGGCATATTGCTTTCTTTATGCCTGTTTAATAATTTCTATTCATAACAATATTGACATAAAACTAAACGTAAGTGCTATTTCATGCCAGTCAGGCTATGACAGATTTGGGCATTAAGAGATTTGGTAATCAAGATTATTTAGGGAAAATGTGTTAGCTATATTTAGTCCTATGGGCCTTTCTTTTTGTAAGGGGTTGGGTCCCATGATACATCGTACATCAACTGAACTTTGCTGACAAATTTAGTAAGGATAGCACAGTAATTTGGCAACTTTGATTTATCACACAGTCCATTGATATTATAGCGCTGGTGGCATGGACAACTTCTGGCTGATTCTTTCAAATTTAATTTTTTTCAGGGAAGAAAGTTACTTATAGCTGGATAGATCTCTGAATATGCATTTATATGCAAGCGAACCTACTGTGTGTATGTGTGAGTAGTTACAAACACTGTTGCACTTCTGGATACATATTCCCTTTAAAGCAAGGACAGCATATACAAACGGAAGTGTAACTGTTCTTTGAAATTCACACTTTTCCTAATTTCACAATGCAATTATTCAGCCAAACAATGTGTACAAGAATGCATATGCAAGGGGAATGTGTGCATAAAAATGGCAATATTGTGATACTAACACACCAAAATGCTTTATATTAGGGTAAATTCCTTGCAAAAAAAATGTTATGATACTCAATAGTGTGTACAAAACTCTCTCTGTGTTAGGAGAAATTCACACCAGTATGCTGATAACTTTTCATGAGGAGTTCCCTTTTTAAAATGGCAATCTGTTGTAGAAAGATGGAGAATTTAAGATTGTAAAAATAAGGGAATTGGGGGAGGGGGATTAACAGATCCTTCCATCTCTCCCCTTAACCATCTCCACCTCATTACTCATTATTTCTGTTGGAGAAAAAGAACAGAACCCCTTTAATTTGGCTCTATCTTTATCTGCTTGATTAACAAAAAGTTGTGAATGTTACTTAAGCACCGAAAACTGTTCTACCCAAATCAGACAGCATAAGCACCCTGCAGGAGGCTTCCTTTATCCCACCAGGGTGGGGCATTTTGATTACCTATAGGTGCTGCGCCCAGTTCTTCCCTTGATGCAGCTGCCAAAACAGCATATGCAGAGGCCTGTTTGAAAATTGGCAGGAGGGGAAGTGGGTCAGCTGCTACACATGCACACAGGCCAGGTCTTCTGGGTTTATTTGTTCCTCTTACAGATATGCAGCACATAGCGTGGCATCCTATTAAAACACTGATTAGAATTATTGTCAAGCATTTATGATTCTTCATCTAATTAGTGTGCTTTATTGGCTGTAGATTGCCAAGCTACGTTCAGGACGTAAAGCATCTTCTGCACACATAACATAAAAATTCAGTATCACTTCCAGTATGGATTCACTGAAATGTTCCAGTTTACGTTTACTGTGGTGTGTATCTGAAGAATTAAGCCATCCTTCTTTACTGCAAACAGTAAATTGCTTCCCTAATTGTTTTCTTTGGGGCAAAATGTTTTCCTAATGTAATTACACGTGTATCCAGGGGACATATGGAGCTGAATTATGAGGTGCGACCTGCCCTCGGTTTTCATTTCTTCTCAAATGCCCCATAACTCTGTTGTAGGTGCCTCTTTGGGGATAATACAGTTGTGTAAGTAAAATAGCAAGACAGCAAGTTCAACGCTCTAGATATTTCACAGAGTGTACAAGTCTACTTTTTTCTTCTTCTTCCTTTTAAGATACTTTTTATCTGCTTTCTGGTCTCCCTTGGACATGGAAAGCGTTTGGATGCGGTAAAGCAGGGATGGCTAGCCTGTGGATTGTATACAACCCCCAGGAAGCCTCTACGTACCTCCTGAAGCCCACCCCTAAAAGGGCACATTTCTGTGCTCCCACAGTTAGCCAGGTGCCCTGGTCTGTGTTTTACTTGCATTTGATTTGTTTTGAGGGAGAACTGACCCCCCCATCACTTTGCAATACAGTGGTACCTCGGGTTAAGAACTTAATTCGTTCCAGAGGTCCGTTCTTAACCTGAAACCGTTCTTAACCTGAGGTACCACTTTAGTTAATGGGGCCTCCTGTTACCGCTGCGCCGCCGGAGCACAATTTCTGTTCTCAACCAGAAGCAAAGTTCTTAACCTGAGGTAATATTTCTGGGTTAGTGGAGTCTGTAACCTGAGGCGTATGTAACCTGAAGCAACCCAATTTACCACTGTACAGTGGTACCTCTGATTACAAACTTAATTCGTTCCAGAGGTCCGTGCTTAACCTGAAACCGTTCTTAAGCTGACGTACCACTTTAACTAATGGGCCTCCCGCCGCCGCCGCTGCACAATCTCTGTTCTCATCCTGGGACAAAGTTCTTAACCCGAGGTACTACTTCCGGGTTAGCAGAGTCTGTAACCCGAAGTGTTTGCAATCTGAGGTACCACTGTACTGTCATGGAAATAAGGAGGTGAGTCTTCCCTCCTCTAGGCTCATCTACACCATGAGTTCTTGGTGGACACTGGGAACAGATACTGGCTGCCCATAGAACAACCACCCGTGCTGAGCAGTAGCCACTTGCTTATCATCATCTGAAGAGTTCACAAAAGCCCCGTGAAGGAGATGGTTTAGATCTTCCTCTCCACCCTCTTTTCTCATTGTATTTCAGGCGTTAACATAAAGGAGCAAAGCTGCTCTGCTGGTGCTCCCTAGGTTTCTTTTTTCCAGCTCTATTGG